TTTTTTTATTGAGCATCACCTAGGCTTTTATTTGTTTAATTATTAAAGTTTATTTTATTCTTAATTCCCTTATAAGCGTGTCTTCCAAGGGTCTAGAGTGAAAACCATGTGTACTACTTATCCTCATGTCTTTTTAGTTGAAAATCTAAGATACAATATTATTTATTAAAAATATCTATTTATATCTAATAAGAGATACATGATAATTTAAATAGAAGCTTTCTTGAAAAAGGTAAAATTTTAATTATCTTCATATGGTTGAGGCTGTATCTTAGTGAGATAAAAATTAGATGAGAGCATAAGGGAGTTAATAATTAATCTCTCTTTATTTCTTCAATACCCCAAAGTGTTGGAAACTTGATCTTCAAATCTAAGATTGATGCATCACCCATAACAATATATAATAAAGTTTGAGTTATAAAGTATTGCATCATAGTTTGAACTAGAATCATTTATCATAAATTTGATTATAATACTTAATATTAAATGTGGTTTCCTTAAGGTGGATGGAAGAGTAGTTGTGCCAAAAATATTTGTAGTGTATTATCTAAAATCATGAATGACATGAGGATAAGGTTAGAACTTAATGATGGTTAGTCAAAGATTTGTTAAGACAATCATGGATAGAATATCTACCAAATTATCTATTTAAATCAAAATCTTTGTAGTTTTGAAATTAGATAATTTCATCTTAAATGAGATGAATAGAGAATCTTGATGTGGTTACTTTATTTCTTCAAAGTTAGAACTATAAAATAATTAAATTTTTGCGTCATAGTTTTTTGCATATGAAGATAGATAGGTTGTGATGATATTCTTATAATAGTATTGAACATTCTGATGATTTTCTTCCCATAATTCATTTGATCTTATTTTTTGTGAGACTGATGTTGAAGGTTGCTTTTATAAATAACAACCCAAGAACTATTGACGAATGAAACATTCAGTCTTTTCCTTCACTAAAAATATTTTCAAGTGAATGACCTCTTGAATGGTGAAAGTAATAATATATAGACTAATTGATATTATTTGAGGTCTTTTCGTAGTTTTGACCACTTAAGATGTTCTAATTTCTCTATATCTACTAAAATATTAGTTCTAAGATATATTTAATGGGGTGTAGTTAGACGACTCATGTAAATTTGGTGGAAAAAGACCTTTATTATTTTGATGCTCCTATTTTTATGTTGGAGAGACTGATCAAATTGTTATAAAAAATTCTCACATTTACTCAATGATTGTTCAAATTTCTTATGACATTGATAATAGTATTATTTGTAGTTTTTTTTTTCTTCTACTCGATATATAAAATTAATGTATGAATGTATTGACTCTATTATGGTAAAGAGTAAAAAGGTCAAGAATTAAGACATCTAAGAAAAATATCTCATTGCAACTATTTATCCACTTCTAGAATTTGAAGAGTCTTCATATAGAATATAAAAAATTACCCTTTAAAGGTTTATTCCCTACATTGGTTAATTCAAGTAAGATGATAGGCATCCTTAATAAACATTTGATTTATGACAAACTATTTGATGAAAGCATGATAAGATTGATGAAGTTTTATACAATTCTACTAGAAATTGAGTAGAATTGAATATGGGTTTGACTCTTTTGAATCATAGGGAAGACTTGTCAAAGGCGTAAATTAAAGATAACTTGAGCCTCTTTGGGATGGAATGCTAGGAATTTTCTTAATTAAAGGTGAAATTTTTTAAAAATTGTGATGAAGAGTAAGTTGTCTTCCTGAATAAGGCCTCATAACTCATCTCATAGGATATCATTTGGGGTGAGATTGAGTCGAGCTTGGATCAAGTCTATTATTTGTCAAGGGATTATAATCTAATAAGATAATACATGAAGGATGATTTGACTAGCAATATAATGAAGATATAGATTTGACTATGGCAGAGAAACTTTAACAAGATGGTGAAGGAGCCCTTCATCCTTATTATATTGCTTATCATGAGGGTGGAAAATTTCATTATATTATGATGGACTTGTTATTGAGTCTATTTTTTATAAGAATTGAAGAATTTAATCTTATTATCCATCCATCTCGCAAAGACATCCTTTAAAATTAGGCATGGATGATCTCCACCAACGGCATTATATCTCCCTTGATTGAGGAATTTGTCACTATATTGATAAGAAATAGAGCAAGGTCTATTATTATGGGCATTATGCTTATAAGCTATTGGACGTATTCTTATAGAATGTTGAGAATGCTTCCATTATTTGACATCAAATTATTGCATGCTAAAATATTCATGGTGGTGGAAAGAAAAAGTTTGATATCTTCATTTTGCACATGGATCTAACACAAAAGTAAAATAGAAAAATATAATTTGTTAAAAATTAAAAAAAGAAAAAAAAATCCTAGAAAATAACCTAGATAAAATAATCTAATCTAGTGATTGAGATTATAAAAGACCGTTCTTCCAATTAATTGAAGAATATGGTGTAACAAAATATAGATATTATATAAATATAGTAGTTAAGACTAGAGAAATAGTGGAAAGTGGGGACCTTAATTACATTGATTGAGTGATGATATATATGTTACACTTGTGTGGAGAAGGTAGTTGAGCGATGATAGTCAGAAATAATAGGTAGAGGTGATTGGATGAAGGCAGTCTAGTGATGATGACCATGCGATGATAATCAAACAATGATGATGGTATTAAGCTTGAGAATATGCTGAGTTAAAAATAAGGAGTAGCATTATTATACAAAGTGTCAAATCTCTTTAAGTTTAAATCTTCACTATTTAATATTAAACTAACAGTAATGCACCTACAACTTCAATCAAAATAATGAACTACTTATTCTCATTGGGTTATAAGCAATATTGAAGATCAATAGAGTTAAAGACCATGAAAATACAAAGACAAGGAAAGAGCACAATAAAAAGTTGCTAATGGAAGCTTCTATACGATAGAAATGTACAAGTGCTTACCCTTCATGATATAGGTGCATATATTTCCACCTCTATATCTTCTTCTTCTTCCTAAGAAAAAAAATCGCAAAACAATATGTAATAAAGAAAGAAATTATATGTAATTAACATTTACTTAGATCCTTTCCTTCAGACCATAATGAGAACAAATTAAATAGCATCTATAAATTAGGGATTGCACAATTTTCATGCCCAATTTGAAATATTGTGTCAAAAACTCTTTCTCTTACACTAAATGTTGACTCAGAAGTTACTATGCTCATTAGTATGGAGAGTATGTCCGCAATTATTCTAGATAAGACACGATACCCGTTTAAATTGCTCTTCAACCATAAAATAACATAGAAGCCTTGACCTTCCGGATAAATATTTAGATGATCCTCAAGATAATGATTCAAGTAAGATTAAGTAAGATTTTGCATTTTTTTTATAATATTTGAAGTAAACTCATGCTACTCAATATATTTATTTATCCCACTAGTTTGAATAATTCTAATGCTACTACTTGCACTATTTGAATCAATAGTCCCACCTATTCTCCTGCAAAAGGTTCAACCCACATATTTGATTTTGTGCTCAATGCATAATGCGTTCTCCTCATATAACTCATACAATGAGTTGCACACATATAATAGATTCCCAATACTTTTCTCTCAACTATAGATCATAGGACATACATATTGAATCACAATACTCTTTTTGCTTAGATCCATAACCAAACCAAAGGCCATTAGAAGATTACATTCACCCAAATATATATCAAGCTTTTTTTTTTCTACTCATTTTGCAAGTACACCAATAGA